GCAGGAATACGACTCATGTAGGACACTGATCGGAGCCCAGATTGTAGACAGAAAGAGTAAATCAATGAGCAACTATGACCTGTTTGTATAGAAATAACACAAGTTCCCTTTTAAACGGTAAACTTCTTTTAGCGTTACACACGAGGAAGTGATTTTACTGGAAGGCTTTGTGTATTAAAGTCAAACAGAGACAAAGAAAGCTTCTGCTTTCTGCACAGTGCCGTAGGTCTCTCTCAACATCGCCATGTGGCTGTTGTGCAGGTCTTCCCAGCTACCATATACACTTTGGAGAAGCACAAAAAAAACAAACATAAAAATAAAACCTAGTGCGCGTCTACATTGCTGTTTACGGCTAAACGCACCTCAACAAATCGTTTGTGTGGTGCCTTTAGGTATACACCGTAAATTCAGAAATTCGGACCATACAAATTTCTTATTCTTAAATATACTTGTTTGTGATATGCGCATGTTATTCCCCTTTTTTCAGTTTACTGTTGTGATTTTAATACTTCAGCCAAGAGTTATTTACATTACTTTTCCATCTCTTTAAATCTTTAAATATATAAACTATTAAAGTTTTCAACAAACAAACAAACAAAAAATCTTGTTCAACGCTGCGATTATTTTACATCTTGTTTTACTGCCGCGCTGAAGAGATAAAGCCCCCAGCTCTCTCTTGCTTTTTCTCCTCACTTTTGCATAGATAGATGTAGCCTGTCTTTCAAACTGTAATATGAACAGACCTATTCCCTTTAGAGACAACAATTAAATATAAAATTCTGTTTCTATGTCATATTATTTCAAACCCCCGACCAACAGTTGACCTGAAAATTATGAAGAGCATTGATAAGTGTAAACTTGACTAGTGACGCTTTGCAGTTAAGAGTGAAGGTAAATGGCAGACTAAATATATCTATTTAATGTCAGACACACTGAAGTGAGAGTGTTTGTGACTTGTTAAGGTACCATGCAAAAGTCTTGAGCCACCCTCATCTCTTCATATTATGAGAAGAAAATTGGAAAACGGTTATTGAAACACATGCAAACATGCATGGAAATCCAGTATGTAAGGCTAAAACAGAGTTTGTACAATTCTATTAGCTTGAAAGGCAACACTTGGTATGACCACCTGTGTTCCTCAACACAGCCTGAACTCTGTTAAAATTAGCTTTCTTCTTGAATGACAGTCCAAAGCTCTCGACTGAGTTTGAGTTAGATGCCTGTTTTATGCTTGATTGGAAAAAAAATCCTCTGATAATTGTCAGGTACAAGGGCTGGACTGAAAAAAGTGAAAGCGCAGCTTTGAAAGACCTGGTGAACTATTACTCAAGACCTCTGTAAAACATTACCAGAAACTGGCTCCTTGGATGCAAAATATAAAGATTGGCTGAAGACTTTTGCACATCACTGGTATCTGTTTTAAGTTTGCCATCATTATATGTTGGGAAGTTCAGTGAGTTATGTGAGATAGGCTATTTATACATTCTAATTAGATCTGTAGTTCACAATTTGGTAAAAATACTTATTATGAGGAAATTCATGGCCTGATTCAAACCCTACATTAAATATGGACAGTATGAAGGATTACAGTAGTGACTGCACTGCACTGAGCTTTGGATGTGCTGCTGCTCCATGGTGCTGAAGCTCTTTGGCTTCACATCATTATGTGGTACCCTTGTGAGGTCTCTTAATTATTACGGTAGTATAGAAACTGAGCTGAAGAAGTCGCTCAAAAGCCAAACAATAAAATGCAATAAAAAGTCCAGAAAAAAGCAGATTGTCCCAAAGCCAGCTAAAATGATAAAATCTCAGTCTAACAATATAAGAACACTTTGTTGGTAATATGTTTATATAGGAAGTAACAAAGTACAAATACTTTGTTACTGTACTTAAATAGAATTTTTGGCCTTCTGTGCCTTACTTGAGTACTTTTTACTTTTACTTCTTACATTTTCAAAACAGGCTTGTTACTTTTGGTTTAACGGATATGAGGGAAGCTATTATTTCATGTCACTGCACTCCTTCAAACATCAAACTGATTTAAGCGTGAACAGTAACACATGAGGGGCAATCCTGTTCTTGTATTAATCACCAGGGTATGTTGATAAAAAAGGCATTAAAGAGGCACAATGGTGTCTGATAGTCAGGTTTTTTTTTAATGTGGGTTGCGTTTTCTTCTTCTTTTCTTATTTTTGGCACAACACCAGAACAACTGCAGGTGTCCATAAGTTGCAAGTGTGATACTTCAGCCTCTAACTAGCCCTGCAGAAGAGTAGTGAGCATAAAGGGAGCAATGTTTTTTAGTGGCAGGTGATTTCAAATGCAGCATTTCTATTAGCTCAACAAACATCAGCTAACACACAAACTGTTTGTGTGGAGTTTGTCTCACAGTGTGTTGCAAGCTAAAGGTCCAGCTGCTGTATTGCACTGGGAGTGAAAAGAAAGAGCTAACTTCACTCAGAGATGGAGAAAGATAAGAGAGATAGGACAGGAGAGGATAAAGAGAGCTTAGATTTAAAGGGAAGGACTGCTCATTTAAAGCTTACATTTAAGTCCTTGTGCTTTTAAATCAGATATTGGGTTTGTACATGCGACACTGTTTTTTTTTTAAATATATATTGTAAAACATGCTGCAAAACAAACATGAGGTAGACTGTTATTTAAAGGCTGCATTAAAATAGATAAACAGGTTAGTTTGCTGTACTGTGATGGATTTAAAGTAAAGATCAGTGTGTTTGACTGGTGTACAGTGGTCGTCCAGTATAAAGACATTCATTTTCTCAAAAGTTGACAGCGTGCCTTATGTATGAATTCTGGTTGTGCTTGATGGCCGCGAACCGATTTTATGTGGTACACGGCGCTCAGCAATCTGTCAAATGTTTTAGTACGACTTTGGTAAGCTACGGAGCTGCACCGCTTGATGGATTGTCGGAGCATTACGGCTGAGCCTTGCGGAGTGATATGTACTGTGCTTCAACGTAATATTACCCTACTGTGTATAAGGACCATAAATGTCATCTGTTAAGAGACGTGGTTGCGAAGCGGATTACAAACTCCAGGCTGTCAGTCACGCAGTACAAGTTGGGAACAGAGCAGCTGTGAAATCTGTCTTTGTTATTGTGCTCGGCGTCTTTTAGTTTACATTTTGACTGCACATTTGTGAGCTTTTTGTTATGCACAAAAACAACATTGTTTTCTTTTATTTATGGAGCATTATTATTTAATAAATGCTCATAATTTATTTTTGAGTAAATTTTATGTACATCTGCTCTATGTTAATAAAAGTGCCTGTGTGACATCTGGGACACAGCTTTGACTAAGAACTCTCTTTTTGTTCTTACTTTATTGCTTTAAAAAAAAAAATCGAGATATATATCTTATATCGCCATCCAGCTAAAAAATATCGAGATATGAATTTTGGGTCATATCGCCCAGCCCTATGTCATACTCCAGTCCTTGTGGGCCTGTGTCCTGAAACTTTTCCATGTGTCCCTCCTGCAACACACCTGAATAAACTTAGTAGGTCATTAGCAACACTTGACTGCATGCTGCAGTAGCAACCCCTAAACCTACTCAAGTAAACTGAAGTGATGTAAAGTGTTTGGAAAGATGTACTTCTAAAACTACGTGCACCGTGTTCATTCAGTCATGAGCTGCTGTTACATGAATCAAATTGCTGAACTGCCACCTCAGCATGCAGTCAATTTCTATAGAGTGTTGCTAATGACCTACTTATGTTATTCAGGTGTGTTGCAGCAGGGACACATGGAAAAGTTTCAGGACACCGGCCCTTGAGGACTGGAGTTTGACACCATGAAACATCTGGTCGAATTCAGGTGGAATTGGACTTTTTTCTTTGCTAACCTCTTTCTTTGAATACTTTCCTCTGTCCATCAACAAGTCTCTTTGTTCTCTTTCCTCTCTCCAAAGGATACATCAATCACCTGGTTGTGAGTTTCCCTCATGACTACAACTGTACCTTCCCATTCATCTGGCAACACGTTCCTACTAGGGCTGGGTATCGTCACTGATTTCTAGAATTGATTCTATTCCGATTCACAAGGTCCTGAATCGATTCAATTCAATTTGAATCGGGGAAATTTTGCCTCAGACAGTCAGAAATATTATAATTCTGATCATTTATCAGTACATATCCATATTTTTATATCTATAAAAAGAAAGCTGACATTTGTGAGACTTTATCAGAGGTGTAAGCATCACAGCCGATGCCTTTGTGTCAAAGTAACTGAGCATTAAACACGGAAAAACATGAAGGCGATTTTCCTGACCTGGCTTTTTATAGCAGATAACCTTAAAAATGTAGTAGAACGAAAACTGAAGAAACCCATGAATCAACATATAAACATTACCTGATGTTGATGAAGTGAAGCAGAGTAAAGTTACAGAGGTTTTATTAGAGACACAGCTAAGTGTTTTGCAATTTTGCATAATTCTAAAAAGTTTATATTTCTTCAGTATTGAACAGCAGAAATGAGACTTTCTTGTTGGAAGTCAGTTAGATTAACAAAAACAACAACAAAAAAACAGTGCCCGACAGTGCTGTACATAACGGTAGACTGGTGGGTAATAAGCAAGCAAATAATGCAGAAAACAGATGTTTAGATGGGAAACTGTTGTTGAAGTACACTGAGAGAGTGAGCGAGAGAGCTCTGCAGGAAGTGTGATTTTTATCGTGGTGGAAGCAAAACAGGAAGAGGGAATTAACGATGATGCTTATGTGAAGCGACATGTAAAGCGTAGTTTGAACCAGCCACAAAAGAAGATCCAATCAACTTTGTTTGGAGAGAGACAAAACCCGAAGCTTTAGAATCTAGCACAAAACAAGATTTAGGCACAAAGTGCAGCCCCGCTGACACATCAGAATCTGTGAGCTCTCGGCTTTCAGCCCCGACGGCGTGTCCATGCCGTCGGGTGAGAAACTGTAAATTTATATTTAAAAATCGATTCAGGATTTTAATGAATCGATATCACATTATTCAAGCTAGAATCGATTTTAATCGGAAAATCAATAATCAAAACCCACCTCTAGTCCCTACCACCCAGAGCCTGTCTCAACTCCTTCCAGAACTCTGGAACATTTTTCCTTCTTCAGCTTCTACCATTTAATCCTTGCTTCTTCCTTCACTTGTTTCCTCTTCTTGATATTTGAAGCCATGCCATAGACTGCCATCCGATGCTGCCTAGCTGCATTCTTGAATAACACCACCTTCGGGTGTCTTTGCTTTCAGACCGCACATTCTGCATAAGCTGTAATCCACCTGTGTGCTCCCTTCTCCACTCTTATCTGTCACCCTAAATTCCTCCTCCTTGTTGATCCATGTGTTCACTACAGTTGTTTCCATCCTTTTCATGAAACCCACCATCATCTTTCCTGCACTACTTAACAGGAACACCATACCAACCCAAGACCTCCTTGTCTCCTCTTTTCGCTACATTAAAATCTGCAGCTAGTAATCATTAAATATAGATTTTTTTTTCTCATGGAAAGGATTTTCTGTCATGTAGTTACTGATGTTTGTTATCTCACAAAAGTGACAATCAAAAAGTGTTTTAAAACATACGTTTCTTAGAACCTCCCCTAATGTTTTGTACTCTGCTATTAAGGGTGCTAGAACTCAAGAGTGACTCCCACAGGTGCTCTTGAAACATTTGTGCACTTATTCATATATATGAGAGACATGCTCATAGTGTAGAGGCATACTGGAAAATATTTTTTAAAATGTTTGTTTTCTTGTCATCACATCAATAACCTCTTTCTAGTGTCCCTTTTATTAAGACCTCCCACAGCAACATGAAGTGTGAGGAAGAGGAGGGTCTGGATGACCAGCAGATGTGTAATCAGGAGAGTACCTCCAGTATGGACCAGGAGGACTCGGAGCCTCCACAGATTAAAGAGGAACAGGATGAACTCTGGATCAGTCAGGAGGAAGAGCAGCTTGTAGTGAAGCAGGAGACTGAAGGCATCATCATCTGGACTGGGGAAGAGCTAGATATTATGTGGAAGCCTGAAATAAAATTACACAGAATAGGTATGTGAAACTTCAAAATACCATTTATGTATTTTTTCCCCTAAACCTTTAACATTGAACATTAAACCTACATTCTCATAAGCCAAAGTGGAAACTGACTTCTTTCGTTCTGGTGAGGATTTCACTTCCCAGGTCCTTGGCCTCTGAACCATACTTGGCAATTTTTAATGCAACTTCAAATGGTTTGGTGAAAAAAAAAAAAAAAGAAACTCAAAAACCAAAGGCAAAAAGTAAAACTCTCTCCCATGACGTTCTGCAGGAAGTACTCAGATTCAAGCATAATCAAAGATGGACAAGCTGCCCCAAGCTTTTGGGCTCTCAATTTCTAGAGGGTGGTCTTTTATTCACCCACTTATTAATTTCAACTCATGACTTCACCCATGGCAGACATTAAGCTTCAAAAGATTGAAAACTGTCCAGTTTTCTGATTATTATTTTTAGCGTGGTCACTCTGACCTGAAAATCTATTAAATATCCCCCCTTGTCAAAGCATTCCCCCTTTGAAGTGCCCTGTGTCCCATCTGAGGAACCTAAGTGCTATCTTTCTTCTACTACATGAAAGAAGACTGCCTGGACAGAAAACAGTCTACTAGTGCAGATACCTAAATACAACATATAGAAGTGCTTGAAACAGCCCATATGTGAGATGAATACATTACTTCTAAATAGGTGAGACATTATATGAGAATTAAAATAAAGTGTCCTTCAGTGCTGTTCTATAATATTCTAGTATGAACGTGTGATAATTTTGAATACTAGATTTACAACCTGAAATACCCAGTTGTGTTTTTTTTTTTTTTTCATATCATTTTTGTCCATGTGTCACATCAGATCTCCCGCAACAATATATGTGTATGGAGGAGGAGGCTATGAATAACCAGCAGGTTGATAACCAAGATAGAAACTCCAGTCTGAACCAGGTCGACCCAGATCCTCCACAAATTAAAGAGGAACCGGAGGAACTCTGCACCAGTCAGGAGGGAGAGCAGCTTGTTCTGAAGCAGGAGGCTGATATCTTTATAGTGACTCCTATTTATAAGGAAAGTGACCACAGTGAATCAGAACCAAACTGTGACCATCTCCTTTCTTACAACTCTCCTGAACCAGAGAGCCAAGATCAGAAAGAAAGTGAGCATGTGCAGACAGGATCAACTAGATATGCAGAGCCGAAGAAGAGAAGACATCACAGTAACAAAACAGATAACTGTCCAGTGACGGAGAGTCAGTGCAAAACTGACACCAGTGAAAAGTCATTAAAATGTGACACCTGTGGAAAAACTTTTCAGTATAAATACAGGCTGACTAAGCATTTAAGAGTTCACACAGGTGAGAAACCTTACTCTTGCAGCACTTGTGGGAAAAGATTCAGTCAGCTCATACATGTGAAAAGCCATATGGCAATTCACACAGGTGAAAAGCCATATTCTTGCAGCTCTTGTGGGAGAAGATTCACAAAGAAATCAACTTTAGATCATCATGAAAGGATTCACACAGGCGAGAAACCCTATTCTTGTAGCACCTGTGGCAAAGGTTTCAGTCAGACGATACACTTGAAAACTCACATGAGAATCCACACAGGTGAGAAGCCCTATTCTTGTGAAACCTGTGGGAAATGTTTCAGTGACTCATCAGCATTCAGAGTTCATGTTAGAATTCACACTGGTGAGAAACCTTATTCTTGCATTGCTTGTGGGAAAAGTTTCCGTCACATGATAAACTTGAAAACTCACATGAGAATTCACACAGGTGAGAAGCCCTATTTTTGTGGGACCTGTGGGAAAGGATTTACTCAGAGAAAACACTTGAAAACTCACATCAGAATCCACACAGGTGAAAAGCCATATTCATGTAGCACCTGTGGAAAAGAATTTAGAGATCAGTCAACATTAAGAAAACATATCAAAACCCACACAGGGGACAAGCCACGTTCTTTTGACACCTGTGAGAAAAGATGCAGTCAGACAAACATAGAAACTCACACAGCTTAAAAGTTTCATCCTTAGAGTCTATCAGAGCCGTCAGACATAGCAGTGTGTTAATGGTAAAACTCACACTAGTGAGAAACCAAATAACTCCAAAACCAGAAGGAAGAGATGAACTTACATTCAGGTCAATGAGCTACATTTTATCTCCTGGACAGTAAAAACACTTTTTGTATTGTTTGTTTGCCTTATACTTATGATGTAGGGGAAACCCAGATTTTTACATTTGTCTGAGCAGATATATATGTACACCTATCAGGCATAGTATTATGACCAGTGAACAACATTATCTCTACATCTTGGCTCTTGTTGGGGGGTAGGATATATTAGGAAGCAAGTAAACATTCTTCCCTCAGAGTTGATGAGCTAAACAGGAAAAATGGTTGAGTGAGTGAGGTTGACTTTGGGTCAGACAACTGGGTCAGAGTATCTTCAAAAATGCAGCTCTTATGGGATGTTCCCGGTCTGCAGTGGTCAGCATGTATCCAACGTGGGCCAAAGAATGAAAAGTGGTGAACCAGTGATGGTCTCATAGACAGCCACGGCTCACTGATCCAAGTGGGATCAAAGGCTGGCCCATGTGGTCCGGTCCAACAAACAACTCCCAAAACAGAGTTAATGCTGGTTCTAATAGAAAGGTGTTAGAATATACAGGGAGTGCAGAATTATTAGGCAAGTTGTATTTTTGAGGAATAATTTTATTATTGAACAACAACCATGTTCTCAATGAACCCAAAAAACTCATTAATATCAAAGCTGAATGTTTTTGGAAGTAGTTTTTAGTTTGTTTTTAGTTTTAGCTATTTTAGGGGGATATCTGTGTGTGCAGGTGACTATTACTGTGCATAATTATTAGGCAACTTAACAAAAAACAAATATATACCCATTTCAATTATTTATTTTTACCAGTGAAACCAATATAACATCTCCACATTCACAAATATACATTTCTGACATTCAAAAACAAAACAAAAACAAACCAGCGACCAATATAGCCACCTTTCTTTGCAAGGACACTCAAAAGCCTGCCATCCATGGATTCTGTCAGTGTTTTGATCTGTTCACCATCAACATTGCGTGCAGCAGCAACCACAGCCTCCCAGACACTGTTCAGAGAGGTGTACTGTTTTCCCCTCCTTGTAAATCTCACATTTGATGATGGACCACAGGTTCTCAATGGGGTTCAGATCAGGTGAACAAGGAGGCCATGTCATTAGTTTTTCTTCTTTTATACCCTTTCTTGCAGCCACGCTGTGGAGTACTTGGACGCGTGTGATGGAGCATTGTCCTGCATGAAAATCATGTTTTTCTTGAAGGATGCAGACTTCTTCCTGTACCACTGCTTGAAGAAGGTGTCTTCCAGAAACTGGCAGTAGGACTGGGAGTTGAGCTTGACTCCATCCTCAACCCGAAAAGGCCCCACAAGCTCATCTTTGATGATACCAGCCCAAACCAGTACTCCACCTCCACCTTGCTGGCGTCTGAGTGGGACTGGAGCTCTCTGCCCTTTACCAATCCAGCCACGGGCTCATCCATCTGGCCCATCAAGACTCACTCTCATTTCATCAGTCCATAAAACCTTAGAAAAACCAGTCTTGAGATATTTCTTGGCCCAGTCTTGACGTTTCAGCTTGTGTGTCTTGTTCAGTGGTGGTCATCTTTCAGCCTTTCTTACCTTGGCCATGTCTCTGAGTATTGCACACCTTGTGCTTTTGGGCACTCCAGTGATGTTGCAGCTCTGAAATATGGCCAAACTGGTGGCATCTTGGCAGCTGCACGCTTGACTTTTCTCAGTTCATGGGCAGTTATTTGGCACCTTGGTTTTTCCACACGCTTCTTGCGACCCTGTTGACTATTTTGAATGAAACGCTTGATTGTTCGATGATCACGCTTCAGAAGCTTTGCAATTTTGAGACTGCTGCATCCTTCTGCAAGATATCTCACTATTTTTGACTTTTCTGAGCCTGTCAAGTCCTTCTTTTGACCCATTTTGCCAAAGGAAAGGAAGTTGCCTAATAATTATGCACACCTGATATAGGGTGTTGCTGTCATTAGACCACACCCCTTCTCATTACAGAGATGCACATCACCTAATATGCTTAATTGATAGTAGGCTTTCGAGCCTATACAGCTATTTGCCTAATAATTCTGCACTCCCTGTACAGTGCATTGCAGTTTGGGCGCTGCATAGTTGTCTTACCCTCACCCCAACTGGTCGTAGTCAATTGTTCCTCCTCCCTGAACCTGGTTCTGCAGCAGATGTCTTCCTGTTAAAAGGGAGTTTTTTTTTCTTCCCACTGTCACAGAGTGCTTACTTATAGGGAGTTGACTGATTGTTGGGGTTTTTGTGTTATACAAATAACATTGAATTACTGCATACCAGTCGGGGTGTCCATGCTTATCCCTGGCCATGTGGACAATGGGTATGTGAAGATCGTATCAACTACCTAGTATTGTTGTAGACCATGAACACCCATTCATGGAAATGGTATTCTCTGATGTGTGTAGTTTCTCAATCATCCAGGCATGTTAGTTTAAGGAGTTTGGAAAGAAAGTAACTGGACCTCTTTACCTTTTGTGAAGAAACCTTAAGAAGCCTGTGGCCTCTCTGTGTGGGGTAATGTGCCCCACCAAAAGCAAAAATGCTTGCAGGGAGCACAGCAAGAATTTTGAGGTGTTGACTTGCACTCCGAATTCCCCAGATATAAGTCCAGTCGAGCATCTGTGGGATGTGTCGGACAAACAAGTCCATACCACAGTACACCTTCAGGGGTCTGGAGTCCATCCCTTGAACAGTCAGGGCTGTTTTTGCAGCAAAAGGGTAGCCAACACAATATTAGGCAGATGGTCATAGTTTTATGCTTGGTCAGTTTGTGTACATATGTATATTATAAATTTATATATTGTGTTAGTGCTGGTGAGGTGATAAATATTAATTGTAGATCCAGATTCTTCAGTTTTTTCACTTGACAGTGTTGTTACAGAAAAAATATTTTTCTGTGGGTACTTGGCTTTTTTTATAGCCAAGATTTTATTATTTTATTGTCTAATAAAGAGTCTTTAATCTCTTTAAAGAAAATTAAAAGCTTGACAGTTACAAGACCAAAAACAATGTGCCTTTATGGATTTGAGGTCACCTTATGTTGTAATAAAAAATAAGCTTCCATATGGACCTCTTCTGTTGATTTATTTATCCTGATTTATTTAGTTCTGTTCCTTATTGTTGTGGGTTCTTTATTCTTAAAATTTAAATAAAAATTTCTGTAAAACGTGACAATTTTTTTCTGAAGTGTCATTTCTAAAATATGAAGCTTTGGTTGCGCCTGTCATTATTTTATATGTATTTTGAAACTGAGGTTTTGATTATTTGAGGAAACATGCTTCTGTGTGTATTACTGTTCCTGAGCTGCTCTGGCTGCAGAGCGTTGCTGCTTCATTGAAGATATTTGTGTAGAGTAGCTGCAGATTGACAGTTCATACAGCATAAAAATACACTGCTCAGATATTAAAGGAACACTTTTTAATCAGAGTATAGCATCAAATCAGTTAAACCTCTGGGGTATTTATCTGGTTAGTTAAGTAGTAGAAGGGGTTGCTAATTAGTTTCAGCTGCTTTGGTGTTAATGAAATTAACAACATCTAGAAGGGCAACAATGACACAACCCCTGAAACAGGAATAGTTTTACAAAAGGAGCCACTGACATTTTTCCCCTCCTCATCTTTTCTAGAGTTTTGCATTTGCCAGTGTCACTACTGGTAGCACGAGCGGATACTTGGACCATACAGAGTTTCCACAGGTAGCCTGAGTCCTCCTGGATGGCACATCAATATGTGCAATTACCAGAAGCTTTGCTGTGTTTGCCAAACGCATTCTCAAGAGCATGGAGGAGGTTCTGGGAGACAGGCACTGTAGGAGAGCTGAGTATGGCATAGAAGGTCCTTATTCCATCAGCTGTACTGATATCTGCTCCTTTGTGCAAGGAGGAACAGGATGATACAAAATAACCTAAATCAGGCCACTGGTGTGAATGTCAGTGAGCAAATGATCACAGACTTAATTATATATTTATGCGGTCAGTTTTAGCGACATAACAATATAAAAGATGGATGTAGCCACCATGAGGATTTGGCAGGTAGGGGAAATTATAGTTCTAGTGCAAAGGTGCATGGGGAAATTACTTACAAATAAGTCACCTAATATTTTTTATTGTGAGTTTTTAGTATTTAAAGCTAGAGGGGGGAAAAAAGAAACTAGTTTGTGAAACTATGCTAAGAACACACACCTTCAATCAAAGATGTCCAACCTTTCCTTCATCCTGGAGAGCAACTGTGGATCACACCCACATCCTCTGCAGGGACTGTTGTCGATTAAGCACTTACACCATGCACATGAGAAATGTAACTCCAGCGCTAAATAACATAAGAGCTTCAGGCAAAGAGAGAAAAAGCAGTGTTACATGTTGTGGCTCCTGTGAGCAAACTGACTCACTGTGTCACACACAGATATTTAAACCTCTCTTTATTGATGATGTATAAGCTGCTGAAGGCTCAGTGAAGTTTTTTTTACATCTTTTTCTGCTAAGTTAACTGAAGTCTGATGATGCACAGCACACGAGGGCGCCGTCATCATGCTAACAGGGATGTAGAGGAGGTTAAAGCAGCTCAGCTGAGCTTGTCCACATATTTTTAGGATGATACAACTCTTTGTCACAGCACACTGTGTCCCATCAAAGTAATTTAGTTTGAAGCTGCATCACATTCCTTCAGCTTCAGCACAGAGTGTTAAAAACAGAACAAACAGCAGGTTCAAAGCACCAGCACGGTCTTTGTTTTTTTCAGTAATGTGTGTCAATTTTCTGCCATCGCTGCTAGGCAACAGGACCAGCGCGACGTAAGAGATATAAAAACGCTGAGTGCGGCCTTCACGGCCTGAAAGGATGCAGCTGCTGAGGTGGGACAAAAGCTTTGTGCAGTTCAAGGACTCTGATGGATGGTGTTTTATGCGCGGTAGACGGTTAGCTTGAAGAGCCTGTTTTGGTGGTATGAGAGAAATATTTCAGTTGTCCGAGCAGCACTGCCTTTAATTCAGTGTCCGAGCGATTAACTGCTGAAAAAATCTGCTCAGAGGCTAAAAACACGATCGTACAGTATGAAGAGGAGATCAGCCTCTAAAGAGGAGATCAGCCTCTAACGCGGACTGCCAGCTATCAGCCGAAGACTCGGGATAAAGTCACAGATAACAGGTATGTGACGCTTACACAGGAGTAAGACGTGTAAGGACCCTGATCGGAGCTCAGTCTGCAGGCTAACAGACAATAATGAAGCAGCAGCTATGAGCTATTTTTTTTTAATAGATATACTAAATAAAGTCGCCACCACCCTCTCTCTCTTTAACAGTAAACTTTTGGCATTAAGCATCCAAGGAGACACAGGGGAAATTTACGTTAGCAGAGGATGGCGTTAGAGATTACGATAGAGGAGGCAGTAAGGGAAAGCAGTTTGCAGGGTGCCCCCAGTTGGATGTCCGCTTCGGCTCTCTGTCTGCCGGTCGGTGGCTACACAAGAGCCCGCTGCCGCCTGTGGCTCTCTTCGCCCAGCAGGCCGGCAGGAATTTTGCTTTCAGAGAGGGGCTTCAAGTCTGAACCAGATGACCAGATGATGATCCCACCACCCTCGCTTATTTTTGTTTTAAATATAAAATGTTAAATAATTAAAATGGTCATACTGGCCAAAATTATGGTAACTGTGACTTCAGCATTAACTTAGACTAAAAAGATCCAAACGAAATCTCAGTCTATTAGATGGCAGCACCCGAGTCCCCTTCTTTTTATTTGCTCTTTTTGCCAACCCTTGGCTAAATGAGAGTCCACTGCTCCAAGCTTTTAATGTGGAAAACTCAGATAATAGAAAAACGGTCAGAAATCCCACTTGGCAAAAATAAAATACTTACTTATACTTATACACTTATACTACAGCCAGTTTTTAGAAAATAATTTCTTTTGGATTTAAGAAAAGGCATTTCTTCTTTGGCATTTGCGTAGTGCTTCCAGAACGCACTGGAGTGATGTGGCACCATTTGTATGTGAATAAAAATATTCACAAAACAGGAGCTCATCTTAGGTGTCATAGGGAGAGAGGCAGGGTGCAGCCTTCACGAATTGACAATTTGTTGCAGTGGTACACAGAGAAAGAAACAAACTCTCTTTTTGGAAAATGCTAATGCAGTGGCTACAGGGCTGGCCTTACATTCCTTGTTGACAGTTCATTGGTGGTTGAAACTGAGCTACATTAGGAGGCAGCACACCTGAACAGGTTAGGCTTAGGGCATATGAAACAGCCCTGCCAAACCTTCTGTGTACTTACTCCTGCCTTGTACTACATGCCGTTGGATTGATGAACAGAGGATTTGGTTTCTGTCTTTGTTGCATGCATGCATTTACCATATTTTGTTTCTTCACTTTATTATCATAGCACTGAATCTCACATCAAGAATAAATGAGGTTACCCTTTTTTGCCACATTGTGGATGCTGTAGGGATTGTGTGTGGACTGAGACTCAAGTGGATACTAGGATTTATCCAGAGGAGAGCTGCATTATTACTAATGTGCCACTGTATGAACCTGACATGTTAGTGAAGCAGATCCCCATGTATTTGTATGTTAATGAAGTTGCTTTGCCACCTTCATAAATGCATGCATTACTCTTTTTTTGTAAGCTGTAGGTATTTAAGTCAGTATTATATATTTTTATATCTGTATTAACGCACTAATACAGTCCCAAATCTGACAAAACCCCCGAAACACTGCAAACCCATTGCAAGGGTGTAAATTTGGTTTTGGCATTGGTGGGGATGATTCAACCACCGAGCCCTGCCCTGTTTCTTTTTTTTCCCTTTTTGTCTTTGCTTCTTGATAAATAAAAAAAAAAAGGAGAAATATACTTTCCTACATATGCTATTCTACATACTTTTAAACCATTTAAAATTACAATTCATAGTTTTATATGTCCATCCATCCATCCATCTTTATCCGAGGCTGGGTCGCGGGGGCAGCACCCTAAGCAAAGAGGCCCAGACCTCCCTCTCCCCAGCCACCTCCTCCAGCTTATCCGGGGGAGCACCAAGGCGTTCCCAGGCCAGCCGAGAGATATAATCACTCCAGCATGTCCTGGGTCTGCCCCGGGGCCTCCTCCCGGTGGGACATGCCTGGAACACCTCACCCAGGAGGCGCCCAGGAGGCATCCTTGTCAGATGCCCGAACCACCTCAGCTGGCTCCTTTCGATGTGGAGAAGCAGCGGCTCTACTCTGAGCCCCTCCCGGATGGCCGAACTTCTCACCCTATCTCTAAGGGAGAGGCCAGCCACCCTTCGGAGGAAGCTCATTTCTGCCGCTTGTATCCGCGATCTCGTTCTTTCGGTCACTACCCACAGCTCGTGGCCATAGGTGAGGGTAGGGACGTAGATCGACCGGTAAATTGAGAGCTTCGTTTTTACACTCAGCTCCCTCTTCACCACGACGGACCGGTGCAGTGTCCGCATTACTGCAGCTGCAGCCCCAATCCGTCTGTCGATCTCACATAGTTTTATATGTGAATTATATAATGTTAAATTACTATTAAACAAATGACTAAGTGAAACTAAAAAGAGCTCCCTGAAAGGCACAGCCAATCACATTGGCCATATTTGTCACATGAGGTAGGACTCCAGTAGAGAACGTAATTTAACTCTTTCTGCACCGCTAAGTGAATGAGAGGTTGACAGATCGTTTTTTTCTTTCTATCGGGTTTATTTTTCTTTACTAGAAGAGACCAAATTATTGGTGGGGACAATTCAATAATCGCTGGATATTGGTGGGGACATGTCCCTTCCGTCCATGCCAAATCTACGCCCTTGACCCACTGTCAGAGTACCTGGGCCATTGACCCAGTGTTTCGTTCTGTTAGGTCAGGTGTGTGGAGAATGGAGACAGAGGACCAAAATGCTGGACTCATAGATTTATTATTAGGTTGAATGAACTGAACATAAATGACTGAATGAACTAGGAACACACACGAGCAGTTGACAACAACAACAGTTCAGCACTGTTTAATCAAAACATCAGGATTGACATTACAAGAAAAATTTGGGGTTGGCTCTAAACATGCAGGGTGAGGACTGAGTGATGAGTTGCAGGATAGAGCCAAAGTTACTAATAATCTAACTAATCTTAGCTCTTTGAGCCATCTGCCCATGGAAATTACCCACTTGGTATGATAACATACAAAAGATCACTGCATCACAGGAAACAACAATAAGAATAGCTAATCGGGTAGTGATTCAAGAACTCAATCTGTACTGGATTATATTTGTTTAGAGGTGTATTTTCATGTCATCACATTAGTAACCTTCATGTGTGCTTTTGTTCCTCAGACCTCTAATAGCAGCATGAAGTGTAAGGAGGAGGAAGGTCTGGATGACCAGCAGGTCTGGATCCAGCAGGAAAACTCCAGTCTGGACCAGGAGGACCCAGAGGCCCCACGGATAAAAGAGGAACAGGAAGAAATCTCCACCAATCAGGGAGAGGGAGAGCAGCTTAAACTGAAGGAGGAGGCCGAAAGTGAGGATGAACAACTCAAACTCAGTGATGATATGTGGAAACCTGAAATAAACTTACACAGCACAGGTATGCAAACCTGTATCGGTCTTAATAAAAAATGAATTTGAATAATTTAGGATCCTACTCACTGCTCAAATTTAGCAGTGAGTAGGATTTATTTTTAGAGAAACAGGAAGAACCTAAAAATCAGCTGCAAATCAGCTGCAATCAGTAGCAATAGTGCATGTGTTTCTTAAACATTTAACATCAACAACATTTCTACTGGTGCAGTGGAAATGATGAAACTGAAGAGTTCACTTCCTTGGAGCTGCAGAAAAACGGAGTCACTCTGATTATACAGCCTTTAGAAATGATTTGTTTCCCTCATAAAAATATTTGCTGAGTACAGATAGCACCATAATGTCAAAGGTCACAAATGTTTTGTGAAGCTTTAAAGACTAGTTTCTAATTTTCCAAGTGTCACTGAGGGAATGTTCCCTGTTCTTCTTGTTTTTATTCAGCTTCAGTGATAGTGGAGGAAGCAAATATCTATAAACTGTCTCAAATGTTTATACCAGTCCCCAAATTACAGAGAACAGCTGTATTTTCTTCCCCTGTTCTCCTCTCCATCTCTCACCTGCTGCTGTCTTGTTTTTTTCCTCCTCTTCCTCACACATAGCTGAATTTGTCCTGGTGTTTCATCAGGGGTGGAGAGCCTCTGTCCCTTCACCTCTCACCTTGTCAGTCTATTCTGACTCTGGACACCTGCAGAATGAAGTCAACCATGACAGTTAACAACAAAAACAGCAGAGGTTTATCAAATATCTGTTAACTTGCAGGATGAAAACACAGTTTTTTAATAGAATCACTCTTTATGTATTTTAAAAACAAAAAAAGGGGAAACAGGACATGTGACCCTGCAGAAATGTTGGGCTTTATTACAAAGGTGACAGACTCAGGTTGTATGATATAAGCATGACAAAACATGGAGGAGGACTTATTATTAGTGGTTTATACAGGATGAGAGTTCTTTTAACTATAAACCAAGCACAGCATGGTTGGGTCTGTTTCCTCACCACATGGGACAGATGTTTGGTCCCTGTGAATACACTTAGCTTAAAGATTGAACCGTCTGCTTGGTTTATTCTAAAACGTTTAAGTACCGTTGGCTTTACATCTACAAACAGACCCAGCTTCGGTAGAAAACTAAACTAACTAACCAAAGCTTGTATGACTCAAGCCAGGTTATGTGGCGATACCAGTAACAATTTTTGATTTGAAGTATTTATTAATGAATTAATTATTTATTTTGAAATATTGATTAGTGTTTTTATTTTACATTTTTATTTTAAATAAACGTATTAAATAATAAATTACTTATGTAATGTTTGAATAAATAAAATAATTTAAAAAAGGAATTTGTAAATTAATTTACAAATGCATAATTTACTGTACAATTTATGCACAGAATTCTTTATTTTGATGAGTGTGGCTCTTGTGGTCCTCCATAATTACTGAAGGGACCAGGTGACACGTGCACCCCCCACACACACACAAAAACTCAGCAGTCATCTGTTATCAGAAAAATAAGAGAACTAAGTAAATTATATCTATATGTGTAGACTTAGAAGAGTCAAATGTTTGACTGAGAGCCTCATTGCTTTTATCTCATTACTTTTTCTTGTTCTTTTAATTATCACGCACTTGATTTTTACGAGTTTAACATTTCCACTTGCTGTTGACACTAAATCTGTGCCCGTGCAGAGACACAAACCCAACACCAGAAGTTTCATTTTGTTCTGTCATCCATTTAAGTTCTAGAATTACATGTTTTCGCTGTAAGCATAGAAATTCGATTTCAACAGCATCCGGGTCTGGAAAAATATATTGGCTTCATCCTGAGTCTGTGTTGTTAGTTTAGTTAGTTATATATGCATTTTAGTTATTGTTATATTTTAATCCTAGTTTAATATTAGTGAAGTTGTGTTTAGTTCCCTCATTTCTACGTTCATTCAATATTTGTTACTTTCCGTTGGTTCCTATTTTTCTTTGTCAGTTAAAATCTCTGTGTGATTTGGAGTTTGGCTTTCTCACCCTTGATTCATTTAGATCATTGCCTCAACATCATCACATTTTTTAAATTTTCTGACATTTATTTTGTTTATTTACCCCTTCAGATTTTCCATATCAACATGTCTGTAAGGATGAAGAGGATTTCACAGACCAGCAGATGGATAACAAGGAGAAGAGCCACATTATGAACCAGGAGGATCCAGGGACTCTGCAGATTAAAGAAGAACACGAGGAACTCTACACCAGCAAGGAGGGAGAGCAGCTCGTATTGAAGCAGGAGACTGAAACCTTTCTTGTAACTCTTGGTTATGATGGAGGTGACCACAGTGATTCAGAGCCACACAGTGATCAGCTCCTTTCTCACAGCTCTCCTGAACCAGAGAGTCAAGATCAGGAAAAAAGTAAGCACATCAACTCAGAATCAACTCGATATGTGGAGCTGAATAAGAAGACATATGACACGAATAACAGTAACAGAGTGGAAAATTCTCCATTGTCAGAGACTCAGTGTAAATCTGAAATAAGTAAAAAGTCTGCAAAATGTGAGATTTGTGGAAAAACCTTTCATGATAAATCCAACCTAACGAGACATCTGAGATCACACACAGGTGAGAAACCTTATTCTTGTACCACCTGCGGGAAAGGATTCAGTAGGAAATCAGGATTGGAGACTCACGTAAGAATCCACACAGATGAGAAGCCATATTGTTGTAACACTTGTGGAAAAAGATGTAGTCAGATGATACATTTGAAAAATCACATTAGAATCCACACAGGTGAGAAACCATATTCTTGTAATACCTGCGGAAAAAGTTTCAGTCAGCTAATTAACCTTAAAACTCACATGAGAATTCACACAGGTGAGAAGCCATATTCTTGTACCATCTGTGGAAAAGAGTTTTGTGCTTTGTCAGCATTCAACAGACATATGCGAATTCACACAGATGATAAGCCACATTGTTGTAGCACCTGTGGGAAAAGATTTAGAGACCAATCGACATTCAAAAAACACATGACAATTCATACAGGTGAGAAGCCTTATTCTTGCATCACCTGTGGAAAAAGATTTGGTCATAAACCAACAATGGAAAGACATCAGAGAAGTCACACAGGTGAGAAACTACATTCTTGTAGTACCTGTGGAAAAGGATTCAGTCAGATGATAAACTTGAAAATTCATATGAGAATTCACACAGGTGAGAAGCCACATTGTTGTAGCACCTGTGGGAAAAGATTCATTCAGATGATACACTTGAAAAGACACATGAGATTTCACACAAGTTGAAAATTTCACATAAAATCTGGAATAGCTGTTAGTTGTAAAAGTGGGTTTATGACAGGGCCAATACAGGCAAGCAGGCAAATTACTCAAAAGGTTGATTCTGTTCATCTGGACGTAGCGTTTTCAGTGGAAGAAACCATCTGTCACTCATCACTACTCATCAGAGAGTAAAATGAGAATTTTTAAAAATGAGGATGAGAGGAGATATTTATCTCATATTTGGAA